CAACACATACTTGTCTGTCTAACATGCTATTTCTGTACAGGGAAATCTCACTAGCTACTGAATGTCAAACACTGGGGGAAAAATTTAACTATTTTTTTTTTATTCATGGCTGAGTAATGGTAAATAAATGGAAACAACTGAAGGCAGATAGGAAAGAGTGAAATTCCATACCATAATTTAGACTGGGAATTGGTTAACTGTCCTAAAGACATTTCTCCACCTCTGTAGCCTAGAAGGGCCCCAGTTTTAAGGATCCATGTCTACACGGGGGACAGGAATTACACAGTTCGGGACTGTATTAGTCACCTCTGACTGCCGTAACAAAATACTACAGATGGGGTAGCTTAAACAAAAGAGATCTGTTACCTCACAGTTCTGGAGGCAGTGAGTCCACAATCACAATTCCAGAAAATTCAATTTCTGGTGAGGCTTGCAGATGGCCAATTCTTGCTGTGTCCTCATATGAACTTTTGTGTGTGTGCAAGTGGAGAGAGAGTGCTCTGTTGTCTCTTCTTCTTTTCAGAAGGACGCTGTTTTATGGGATTAGGGCTCTACTTCATTTAACCTTAATTACCTCCTTAAAGGCGCTATCTCCAAACACAATCACATTGGGGGTTTTTGGGCTTCAACATATTAATTTGGTGGGACACAATTCAGTTCATAACAGGGACTGAGCTGGATGAAGAGTAGGACTGATGAACCCCCAAAGGGTATGACTCTCAATGAGTAAACTAGAAAATACCTCAGTGTGCCCTTCTTTACTCCAAGTAGATCTGTGGAGAAAAGTCTCCCCTAGGAATGCCAACACTCACATATGTTTGAGGATGAAGTTCACACTACCTGTGAGTAAGCGTATGTGCATGTGTGTGTGCGCACACTGAAGGACAGGGGAGACAGAGGAAGGAAACCCAAGATGAAAAATGAAGTGATCCAGGGTTGGTCGTGCCCCAAGAAACAAACTGGTAGTTCAAGGAAAAGAAAAACAGTATCTTCTCTATGGGAACATATTTTAAATAAAAATTCCCCAAAATAAAGTTTAGAAGAATACCAACTCAACCCAAATCACTGATCTTATTAGAAAACAAATCACTGTAACTGTTTCAGACAAAACAACATATACAAATTTAGATTTAGAGCCACAAAAAGGGAGAAAAATATGAAATTATCATGTATAGAACGTAAGTACATTTAATATGTTTTAAGAAAAGAGAAAGAGGAAACAATGGGACTATCCCAAATGACCAGGAATGTTTGAGAAACAAACAATTCTTTGGAAATGAAAAAAAAAACTGTAATTAAAAACTCAATAGGTTGTAAATAGGTTAGAGATGGTGTGAACACAAGAATTAGGGAACTGGAAAATAGATTTAAAGAAACTATCCAGAATTCAACACACTGAAGAAAAAGAGACAGAAAATATGAAACAGATATAAGAGATACAAAGAACAGAATGTGATGATTTCCTAAAGGAGAGAATGAGCGATATGCAATATTTAAAAGAGATAATGGCTGAAAATTTTCCAGAATTCATGAAAAGCACTAATTTTCAGGTTTAGGAAGCTCAATGAATGTGTATAGGATAATAAAAAGAAGTTAAAAAAAAATACTGGAATAGGGGCGCCTGGGTGGCTCAGTCATTAAGTGTCTGCCCTCGGCTCAGGTCATGATCCCAGGGTCCTGGAATCGAGCCCCACATCAGGCTCCCTGCTCAGCGGGAAGCCTGCTTCTCCCTCTCCCACTCCCCCTGCTTGTGTTCCCTCTCTCGCTGTGTCTCTCTCTGTCAAATAAATACATAAAATCTTAAAAAAAAAAATACTGGAATTAAAAAAAAAAGAAATCCACATTGTATTACAATGACTTTAATTATAAAACACCAAAGATAAAAACTGTAAACAATGTGAGACAGATTAGCTTCAAAGGAATACCGATCGGACTACAACTATGATTTCAGAAGCAACAACAAAAGCAAGAAGACAATGAAAGAATATCACTAAATACTGAGAGAAAATAAGCATCAATCCATCAGTCTAGAATTGTAGAGCCAGCTACCTTTCAAGGATAGTAAAATGATAAACTGTGGGTAAGTCTAAATAAATACTGACTGTATACAATAAAATAGCTATTTTTGGAGTTAAACTGAGATAAATTAAAATTCTAGACACTAACTGATTGAGGAATCAAACTCTGTTCAAAAGTCTCTGGTGTTTAGGAAGACAGTAAAGATACTAACTTTAGATTTTGTTAACTATGCAGATTAAATTTCTTGGTAAGCACTAAAAGTTAAAAATTGAGTTTTACCTTCTAAACTAGTAGAGGGAGGATAAACAGGAAAACAAAATGAAAATTAATCTGTAAGAAAGCAAAAACAAAACAAAACAATGGGCAGTGAGGAACAGAAAAGGTAGGACAATAAGCACAAAAGATGATATAAATGAACCCTAACACATCAATAGTTTCAACAAATTTAAATGGATTAGATAGAAAAAAACCCAGTTATAATTTTTAAGTTACAAATACTAACCAGCTGATGTGTGTAGCTTATGTAAATTAAAAAAAAAACCCACAGAATTAAAAGCAATAAAAAATGAAATAAAAACATTACTAGAAATAGAGGCTATGTCAATAAGATTCAATTCTAAGCTTGGAAGATAAAAAATTCCAAAGTTGTATGTACCTAATAACAAAGCTTCAAAATATAGAAAACAAAAACTGACAGAATTACAGGAAGAATTAGAAAACTGACTAGAGTATGAAATTTCAAAGTATCTCAGAATCTGAGGGATTACATAGAAGGAAAACAAGAGTAAAACAGAGATAATTTGAACAACACAGTAAGTTTGGTCTAATGGATACCCAACAACTGGAAAACAGCATATGTTCAAGTGCTAATGAAACACAAAAACTAACAATATTTTAGGTCATAAGGCAAATAAAAAAATTTCAACATATCAGTCTTATACCAAACCATTCTCTAACCACAATCCAATTAAAGAATAAATCAACAAGAACAATTTAAAAATCTACAGGTTAAGAAATGAAAGAACTAAAGAAAAGAAATGAAAAAACACCCACAAATAAGTCAAAAAAAAGAAATCATAATGAAAAATAGAAAGTACTTGGACCTTAAGAATATTTTTATAATACTTTAAAAAGGCAGAATGTTACTTCAACTTGATCATTACAAAATAATCCTGTGAGCTACGCAGAACCCATTTTATCTCTGCTCAACAGCATAAACAGAAATGTTGTAAATTATGTAATTATTAAAGTTAATTTTTATATGCAAATAAAATATCTATCAAAAGTGATTTGGAAACTGGGAAATATAAGTGAAAATATTAAGGGGAAGGCAAACCAACCGTCTCTTTTACACACTATGTTGATTAGCTAACAAAGTTACAAAGAAAGAATTTAATATCTTAATGTTGACAGTTCAAAAAGCTTACCAATTCATTTTGGTTTAAGAAGTCCTTTAGATCCTTATATAAAATACACAAACTTATATAGTATTTATTATTCATATGAGAGGAACAAACACTATCAGAAACCTTGGCTGCACAAGTGGACTAGCCACTTTTGCTACCACATTTGCTCTCACACACAGTCCTGATTTCTTGGTCATAGCATCTGTTCAAATGGTGCACTGGCAATTAATAGCATTCCAAAAACTGCCTACAGTACAAAGGGAATTTTCATTTAAGGTTCCCCTCCCTTTTATGTGTGGGCTATTTTTGGAAGTATGGTTTTATTTTTTTCCATCCACTGAAAGAGAATTAAGAAAATTCCAACATGCCTTAGTGTCAGCAAGTGCTCTTTTTAGTCCAGGTACCAGAGAATGATTGATGAACCTGTCAAGTCTACAGTAGCGGACAGAGAAAGTTGGCAGAAGTTCAGTGTTATTGAAAGAAATCTCAAATACTTATTTCATCTCCCCTATTAACTTTAATCACATTTTCAACATGCAGCCAAGAATGAAGCTTTACAGTAAGCCATACATTTACACAAGCAAGCATTGTCACTTTTCTGCAGTAGCAACACTGAGATAACACAAGAGAGTTGGGTATTTTCTTTCTTGTGCCTTTCTTTACTGGAGAGCAATAAAAAATATTTGAAAGATTTATCCATACCTTGAATTCATTCACCATAAATCTCAGAAATTATTGCATTTAATTTGCTTGGTTTATAGCAAATAAAAAAATCAACTTAGTTTCTCAATTAGACTGTTAAATGCAGATTTTTTGAAGATCACAGTGATGACAGAATTGGTACGTTTCATCATAATACACCTGCTTATGAGAACAGACGTTAAACACTAAAAAAGGATTTACATTTAACATGGATCATTTGCCATGTGGGCAAACATTTCTGGTTTATTCAGAGCCAGAATCTTTATATGGTTCCAGAGGGACTCCTTGGCAGATTTTGCTGATTACTCATTAAACAGTTGAAACATGTATAGACGTTATTTATCTTACAAAGCTTACCGACAGCAAAACAGACACAAAAATGAGGTAAATACCATGGACAAGATTATGGTTCTTGGAAAGGCTAAACGTCAAATATATTTTTGGTAAGCTTTTCCTTCTAAGTATGTTTTAAAAGCTGAAAATATTAAGTGCCGGAAGGCCACAAAACTTAGCAAGTGTGTTTTGTCATTCAGTGAAACACTTGTTATTATGCCGTACTACAAAATCTGTAACCTTTCCCAATGGGCAGTTCAAAGACCAATGTTGCCCTCTTTGTCTCAGCAGAGAAAAGGTTTTGCCTCTCACCTCTCTTAAATATGACCTCTGCTCCAAAGACTGTTTTTGTCCACATTACTCATGGAATAACACTGTATACATTCTTCCAATAACCAAGGATGTTATGACAGTAGCTATTCTATCTGCCTTCTAAGCCACAATAACTAATATTCACCCTATGTGAGAAAGAATTAAATTATTTTTCTAAGAAGTCTATACTTACAGTCCTCTGAGATAATCAATGAAAAGACACCCAATTCTGATTAACAAAAAGCAAATTTATCCCATTTTTCCTCCTATCGTCCCCATTCAAATAATCATATATAGGCACTTAAAACTGGAAAGATGTAGCACTCTTCTTCTATTAAACAATTAAGACTTACTTTCTTCTGATATAAGAGTGCCATCGAATATATTGCTAAGCTTGAAGCAGAGGCTAAATGGTTTGGTGGGAACAGTTTTTTGGGGGGAAGTCAATGTTCTCTTATTAAATTGTCACTGTTGTGGTTAAAGTTCTTAAAAGGTTGAAAACTTTGCTAGGTCCTTCTCCATGTCGGCATATTGTTCTTTAAGCCTCTCCATGGCTTTTCTGTGTTCTTCATCCACTTCAGCCTGTCTGCTGTGTTGTTCTTTCATAAAATCTTCCCACTGGGTTATATGTTGTTTTTCACTAGCTATTAAATGGTCATTAAGAATCTGAGAAAAGAAATTTGAAAGTCACATGACATTTTCCAGACAATTATTCCTCTATGCAGAAGAGACAAACATAAATTTACCTCTTGATATGTGGCTACTACAGCAATCAGCTTGAAAGTCACAATGCTAAAATTGCATCACAGTTTTAATGTCCAACAAGAACATGACAAATTAGAAATATCTAAGGCTTCTTTACTATGACTGAACATGGATGGGTAATCATATTTCTGAAATTTCAATAATGTCTAATACCTTCAAATGACAAAATCAAATACAGTCCAAGTAAATTTTCATACCTCTATTTCTTCTCAAATTCCATTTAACTGTATTTAATATTTAAATCAAGTTTAAAGAATATATGCCCAAAGAGAAATCAAGATGCATGTCTTACATAAAATATTTTTTCAATGCATTAAAAAAGATTTTAAGTTCAAAAAAGATTTTGGGACGCCTGAGTGGCTCAGTCGGTTAAGTGTCTGCCTTCCGCTCAGGTCGTTATCTCAAGGTCCTGGGATGGAGAGCCCCGCATCAGGCTCCCTGCTCAGCGGGGAAACTGCTTCTCCCTCTCCCGCTGCCCCTCCCCCTGCTGTACTCTCTCTCTCTCTTTGTGTCAAATGAATAAAAAATCTTTTAAAGAAAATTTAAAAACAGATTTTAAATCTAAAAAAGATTTAGAGGGATAGATTATTAATCACTGGAAGAGAACTCAAGACATCTCTTCTGGCTCAGTTCCATTCCTTAAAGTAAATAAATGCCAAAAGCATCTGTGCAAATATCTTAAGTTCTTGAGATGTCCCTTAATATTTCTATATGTAGATGAAAAAATTTTCTTTTGACTACCACGATAAAGGTAAAACAATGTATAAGTGAAAAAGGCGTAAGTTTAGTACAATTTCAATTATCTTTGAATATGTACAACAAAGAAAAGCTAAACAGGAAAAGAGAGTATGAAAAATAGCTTTATATCCCTGCCTTAAATGTTCTACATACATGTCTTTAGAAGTCTGGATACAGACTAAGTTCTATTAAACAAACAAACAAAAACTGTGACAGATATAAACCATAAAAAGTTATAAAGCACCTAAAATCATTATAAATTCCAGCACTCTAATGAAAACAGGACACCTGGTATACTCAGATACTGGTGCCCAGATGCTTGGTCACACCAAAAAGATAGCTAATAGGAAAAAAAATGGGAACTGTTTTCATGGTGTCATCATGTCCCTGCTGCTCCATTTTCTCTCTCATCTGAGATGATGATAAGCAGGATGAAAAGGTGGATAAATCCATCATTCTCTAAGTATCTACGAAATGCATCTTTTTGCTACTTGTTTTGCATATCTTATCTACTCCTAAAAACTGCTCTTATAAAATTACATTATTTTCACTTTACAGATGAAGAAATTAAGGTTTAAGGACAGTAAATGTATTTCTCCATGGTCACTCAGCTACTAAGTTGTAGATTCAAACTTCGGTCTTTGCGATACCCAACCTATGCCTTTTTTATCCAAAGTGTGAACTGGATCTTTCCAGAGGAAGGTTTATACAGGTAGGAAAAGTCTCTTTTACAAGACAAAAACAACTACTACAAGAGCTTTTTCCTGCCAATGTGATCTGACCTTCCTCCACATGGAGGCTTTTCAAGTGAAAAGAGGTTGGAGTGAGTCTGAAGTCTGCATTAAAGTCAAACATTCCCCTAAAATATGTGCCACAGACCCCTGGGACCTGCACAGGCACTATAGTGTGGGGAGAGAGGGTTAGGGAGGGGTTTGCTGGTGGCAATAAATTTAGGAAACAGGTTAAACAAAATTCAGAACTTTAAAGTTTTCAGCCTCACGGACTGTAATTCTCCAAAAGATGAATAAAACATGGAGTTCATTAAACTCTTTTCATGGTACTTTGGCAAAAACTATTATATTCTAAGAGAAAAGCCACAATCAGACTTAAGAGAGAAGAATATGCAAATAAACTTTCTCAAAATGGGATCCTGCTTTAGCTGTAAATTATTTTTTAATAAATACAGAAAATACTAAACATGCACACTCAGATGTTGTTTAAAAGATTTTTCTTTTTGGGGCGCCTGGGTGGCTCAGTTGGTTAAGCGACTGCCTTCGGCTCAGGTCATAATCCTGGAGTCCCAGGATCGAGTCCCGCATCGGGCTCCCTGCTCAGCGGGGAGTCTGCTTCTCCCTCTGACCCTCTTCCCTCTCGTGCTGTCTCTCATTCTCTCTCTCTCAAATAAATAAATAAAATCTTAAAAAAAAAAAAGATTTTTCTTTTCTTTTTATTCTTTTAAGATATGCACCATAATTGGCTCAGCCGACCCTGTGATTTGGACCACAAGGCAACGGCCCTGATTCCACTTCCCACCAGAGAGCACTTTTTCCAGTGCTACTGAATGGAAAAATGATGATTTGGGAAGCATATAAACCTCACTTCAAATTCTGGTTCACTTGCTACCAGCTGCATGACCTTGAGCAAGTCAAAGTTTCTTTAATTTTAAAACGAGGAAAATACTTCATACTCATAAATAAATATTTATGAAGACCAGAGGTATTACATGTCAAGTTCCTAGCTCACTGCCTGTGGAACTTAATGAAAATTAATATCACTATTATACAAATTATAAGCAAAACATCTAGAAGGAAGATCAAACCACTTTTTATCTTCCCCATTTTTTGCCCTTTAATTTTAATAATTTATTTTTTATTTTACTAATTTTAATAAATTTAATAAATTATTTAATTTAATAATTTACTTTTTAAGATTTTATTTATTTGAGAGAGGGAGAGATCCCGCATGTGCGCGCGCGCTTGCATGTATCAGGAGAGGGGGGAGAGGGTGAGGGAGAAGCAGGCACCGGCTGAGCAGGGAGCCCAAGGTGGAGCTCCATCCCAAGACCCCAGGATCATGACCTGAGCTGAAGGCAGACACTTAACCGACTGAGCCACCCAGGCATTCCTAGTTTTAATAATTCAATTTCAGCAACAGATTCTTGTAATAATTTGAACAATACAGGCAACTCAAATAAAAGTGAGTTTCCCCTTCCCATTCCTATACTCAATTCAATTCTCCTTGATGATTCTACTATTTACCATTTGGCTCTAAGAAAAGAATTTAAGATGTCACTAATTATCAGTATGTCTATTTTGTAGTTTCAGAATATTATGACTAAAAACATATATATCCAACTAGCTTTTTCACATAAGATAGATCACTTGCTTGGCCTCACAGTTCAGGTGAAAAGAAGTTGAATGCTGACTACTCTCTTAATCCAGCTGAAAATCTAGTCTTGCTTTCTTACCAAGAAGTTCATGAAGTCACTCTTGGAAATGCTGATAAATTAAGTAGGAAGAAATGATAGGCATCAGCCTTGTGGGGAAGGAGAACACAGATACAAAAACTTAGAACACACAGTATTTGAGGGCATTTCCTACAGAGAAACACTCTAACATCCTGAGGACACCCCCATATTCACCACAATGTAAAACTGTCTATTCTCAACAATTCCTAATTCGTAAAGAAAGTTAGCCTATAATAATTCTTTTTATGAAAACCAGAAAAGTACGAAATACATTTTTAAAGATGTCCCCCCAAAATAAAGTTATAAAAGTGGTGTGCTTGAAGAAGATAAAACCTCAGCTCTGTGGTAAGCTTGGCTAGATGGAATGTTTCATTTTCTAAGATTCCTAGACACATAAGGTTTTATTGTATGTAAGAGCAGAAAAATCCCCAATTAGCTGTATCTTACATATCACCTAGGCAAAAAGTTAGAAAGTACTGTACGACAGGAGTGAAGATCATCCTAGGGTATAGCTATTCAAAATGTAAGGAAATGCAGTCTGGCCAGTTGTAACTTCACTGGAATAGAATGACAAGGAGCTGAGCAGCTGCTTCATCGAGAGCAGCACATAAGGTCCCTCCTGACAGACTGTCACAACACTTCCTCAACTCCACTGAAGCCGTTCTGACGTCAGCGTGCGCCCCAGTTCATACACGAGAAGTTACAGAAGCCAAGGACTTCGCCCGACATGCCAGTCAATCTGTTCACAACTACAAAGAACTCTCGGAAATAAGGAAAAATCTTTTATAAATACTAAGCTAACTGCAGACGATCGTCACCTGTGCACATCACCTTCAGGAAGAGCAATTCTGCTTTTATGTTCAAGAAATGGGGTTCTAAGTGAGATTCAGTCTGAAGTAAGTGTTCCTTTCATTAAAACACATTTGAAAACAATGATCCGATCGAACTATAGTTAGAGTCACACAGCTTCATCTAAGTCTGATAGCAAGTGATAGCTCCCCACGTACACACCAAATCCTTTCTCTGGTATCCTTTTTCCTGGCATTATTAACAGTTCAGTGAGTACTAAAGATTATTTCCTGACGTTTGTACAAACGTACCTCTTTAATAACAACAATGGAGTCGCATTACACAGGAGGGTCTGCAGTTTTCTCTTTTCAGTAACGACACACCATGTACCAGGGGTACAGCAACAGCAGGAGGGTGGGGGAGCCCCGCCCTGGGTGCAAGCAATAAGACGGAGTATTGTCGGTAGAGAATTTACATCAAGGACACAAACAAACGAAAGACTGTTTTTTATCATCACCAGCCACTGACGATACTGAAAAAAGTCGGTGATAAAATACCCCTCCTAAACCAAATCTTTCTCTGATCTAAAGCTCTAAATAATTACTGAAGTTATTGTTGAATTTTAATATGTTTCAAATTAACACATTTTTATTGTTTATCCTTTAATAAATTTTGTATTTTACACTGAAGTTAATTTAGAGGACTTCCAGTTACATAACCAGTCCTGGACAAAGATGAAGTCTGCTATACATGTTTATTTCCAAAGTAAATACCAAACAGTCCAGAATCATTTCAGCTTTCTTTAGACACTAAGCCCCTCCAGCCCCCGGGGAATTAAATATTATTGCACTTAAACAATGACAGTAGAGCAAATGCAGATAAACTCTGAATCAGTTCAAATCCATTA